CGAACATCTGAAGATTTCCAGAATTCTGTTTTTGTCTTTCGAAATGGTGTTAGATCGGTATTTTCATCTACTACTTTATCTATTTCATCTGTATAAGTTCCGTCGAGTTCAGTAATTTTTGGAATCCAACTATCAGGATATCTATATAAAAAAAAAAATAGATTTAGTCATTATATTATTTATGATAAAAATTTACTTATTTAATAAAGAATAATACTAACACTCCTTGCCAAAGTGCAACAAGACGATCAACGTTGACATGATGAAAAAAGAATAGTGCGTCAAATCCAGCTAGATCTGTATAAGTCATATGACCTCCAAGACCACCAGATACTAAATGAAAATCATCATGAACTGTCTCCAGAGACGCAAAATGTCCAACTCCAGCATTTCCCATTTGTGTACCATCTGGTTTTGTACCATGGTTGCTAAAGTGTAGGAAGTCACTAACGTGAAACATTTGATAAAGTCCGGGTCTAAATACTGTAGGAACATGCACTGACATGTTAGAGTTTAATAAATTATATTGATCTTCATAATTAGCATTAGGATGCCTGATTGTAGGATAACCGGCAGGTGTAAATGGATTATATGTATGGTCGTCAAGTGCTGCAAAGCGGCATTTGTCAGCTAATCATTTGTCCGGTTGAGCCAAATTGCCATTATTCACAAATTTGCCCAATAATGGTGTTATCCGATAAGTATATTTATTGAGCAGATCGATTCTGAGTCGGTGAGGGAAGTTTGTGCTACAAATGTTGTTATTATGTTAATTATTGTAATCGAGCATTTTAAGTTTAGTTTTGAATTTAATATGGGAAGGATTTATCTGAATCAAGAAAATCTAACACTAATAAGATTATATAATATATAACATACGTACATACGTTTATGATTTTCATGACTATGATATTCATAAATTCAGGTTTAATACTAATAAGTTATTTATCGTATTAGATCATCATTGGACCGAGTAAGTTATGTTTGATTAATTTTTTGAAGATATTTCAAGTTAATTCAAGTTGTTAATACCCCTAATTTTGGATTATCATTTGATTTATTATCATTTGATTTATTATCATTTGGCTAATTCTTTATTATATATTAAATATTTAGTTGATTAGTTATTTATATTACGATTAATAAATTATATCAATATATGGTGATTAAAATTTGATATATAACACGTGATAGTAAGGATTGCGAACAGAATTCGTTAGAGTATATTTAATACAGACTTTAGGAATTTTAATTTGCTTGATTAAAAATTTGAATGTTTATTGGGTTTTTAAAATAAGAATATACATAAAAAAATTTAGAATAAGTTAAAATTATTTATTTATTTATCTTTGTATTATGATTGAATTTTATAAAAATCGAATTAATAAAAGTATAAATTATTAGAGAGTAAATTTGGAAAATTTTTTTGTTCATAATTAGAATGGTATTATGTAGGATTGTTAATAAATTCGTTTTGGTCAAAAACTGACAGTTTTTTAAAAATTGACCGGATTGTGGTTCAGAACCGATCAATATAAGGCTGGACAGACCAATTATCAAACTAATTTAAGATTCTTAATAATCATAATTCAGAATTGCAGAATTATGATCGTTAAGAATCTTAACGATCACAATTCAGCAATTGCAAAATTAATTGTTAAGAATCTTAACGATCATAATTTAGCAATCGCGTAATTAATCACTGACAATCTTAATGATCATAATTCAGGATTGCAGATTATGATCGTTAAGAATCTTAA